TCTGTAATTGGCTCGCTCTCTTTTGTCCCCTTTTGGGGAGATTTACTCTCACTTCCTGTCTCGGTGACCTGACAGGAAGTGAGGAGGAATATCCCCAAATAGAAACCATTTTTTTTTTTGCCTGTCTTATGTCTCTCACCCGCTCAAAAAATGACTAAAATTGATTATATTTTTACAAAATTCCCAAAGATGCGCCCGCTGTCTGCCATCCAAGTTAACGAGCGGGAATCAGCGGCCGCGTCTGTAAGCGGTACACCGTGTGATCGTATCTGATACGGGTACACACGGAACTGTCCCTGGACGCATGATCGATGACCCTGCCACTAACACACTTCCTGTCCTGAGGTGACCACGCCCACTTGCCATACGGTATGCAGGAGCAGTGTTGTCACCCTAGAGCAGGACTGCAATGAACATCAACATAGAGGGGGGTGTTCTGTAGTCCTCAGTGCCGGCTGGGAAAACTGATCACGTCCCGTACACTCCTCCCTCTTGTCGGCTGTTCTCGGCTCAGGATATTTCTGGCGGGATCAGCAGATCGAACAAATGTGACAAAAATGCTTCCAATGGGGTGTTCAGCGGAACAAAAGGGGAGCAAATAAGGGCACACCTTCTGAAAGTAAAGAAAAGCGTGCTGATCTTTCCGGAAATGCTGCGCCCTTGTCACTTCCTGTGGCCCTTCCACCATGTAGCAAAGATGAACAAAGGCGGACTTGCTTGAGGTCCAACCTGGGTGACAACCATGGCCATAGATACAGCGGAGGAGTGAGCGTAGCCACCCAGGGACAGGAAGTGTGTTTATTTGCAGGATCACCAGGTGACAACCATGCCCATAGATACAGCGGAGGAGTGAGCGTAGCCACCCAGGGACAGGAAGTGTGTTATTTGCAGGATCGCCAGGTGACAACCATGCCCATAGATACAGCGGAGGAGTGAGCGTAGCCACCCAGGGACAGGAAGTGTGTTATTTGCAGGATCACCAGGTGACAACCATGGCCATAGATACAGCGGAGGAGTGAGAGCCAATTAACCTTCATGTCTTTGGAGTGTCAGAGGAACCCAGAATCCCCCCCCATGCAAGCAAAGGGAGAGCATGCAAACTCCATGCGGCTGTCCAGGCTGGGATTATAACCAGACATTCTTCTCCTCCATCCCTCAGGCTTGTTTGCCACGCCGCTCCTGATGGGTCTTCCCGAGAAGGCCAGAGAGTTCCTGGCCAAGCAAGTCCCGTTCCCCAGCCGCCTGGGCGACCCCGACGAGTACGCCCACCTGGTCCAATCCATCGTGGAGAACCCCATGCTGAACGGAGAGGTGATCCGCCTGGACGGCGCCCTCCGTATGCAGCCCTGAGGTGGGGGCGATCGCAACACCCTCCGTCCGTCCATGCCTTTTTGAAGGGGGGCGACGCTCGGCTACACAGGGAGCAGCCGTAGGACGTCCTCTGTGAGGGTACAGGAAGCCACGGCTGCCCCTCCCCCTCCGATGTATCCGGAAACCTGACGGTGGAATGTTGAACTGCCTCCTTTTGTGGGGGGAATGGCGCCGCGGTCGATCGCCCGCTTTTTCCTGGTTCGCAGGTTATAAAGAAAATTTTCTTTGTAATGTAAAAATAAATCTGTTTGTGGATCAGAGTTTATCTTCCTGTTCTGTTCTCCGAGCCCCGCCTCCTTCTCCAAGCCCCACCCCCTTCTCTGAGCCCCACCCCCTTATCCTAGTACTGTTACATTGTATCTCTTCTTACAAAGATGTATTTATCTTCTATGATGCTCAGCGCCATCTAGTGGCCATACGGCGGTATCGTCCTGAATTACCCTGTTTCCCCGAAAGTAAGACCTAGCGCTATTTTTCAAGATTCCTGTAATCGCTCGCCTCTCGATCCTGTCCCTGCAGAGAGCCGTGACTGTTGGCTTTTGTTTCGCTCGGCACGGCTTTGCTTGCAGTGTGTCACAGGCTTCACACGTCGGCTCAGTAGATCGGGAAGTGAGGGAACATACCGTCGCTCGCTCACCTCTCGATCTGTCCCTGCAGAGAGTGGTGACTGTCACTCGCGGCTCCCTGCAGGGATTCCCTGCTCTGATCCTCCAGCGCTGACTGGCAGAACGGACGGGGGAGGGGGCGGGTACAGCTGGCTCTAGATAGGCAGAGCCAGCTGTCACTCACACAGCTGGGTTTTTTTTTTTTTTTTTTTTTTTTTTTTAAAGAACATTCCACCAGAAAAAAAACAACAACTTGGAGTATTATTCACGAAGGATCTAGAGTGACGTAGCTTCGGCGGCCGCAGCCCTTCAGTTCAGTAGAACGGAAGGGCTGCTGTACGGGCTACTCACTATAACCTGTACAGCACCCGTAGGCGGCATATGCTTCGGCCCGTCTGAGCAGACGTGTCAGCCAAAGCGGAGTGAAGGGCCGGCCTTTCGCCCTGCAAATGACGGCCGGCTCCGCCCAGTTGTTGTTCATTGGTCGGGACCTGCTATAAGATTCTAGC